AAGATTGAACCCAGGACCTTATGCCTACTAGCCCAGGTACTCTACTGAGTTATACACTAGACATATTACTCATCCTACTGATGCATTGGGTATAGAATTCGGGGGTGCTCTACAACTGAGTTATATCTTTAACTCTCTTTTAAAATTTTGAGACAGAGTCTAAATTGTCCATGCTGGCCTCAAACTTCTGTTCCTCCTGTCTCAGCTTCTCAAGCAGGACTGCAGGAGTGTACCACCAGGTCTGGTTCTATCCCTATTTTTTTTGGTTTTTTGAGACAGGGTCTCACTATATAGTTGAGACTGACCTGGAACTCACTGTGAAGCCCAGGCTGGTCTCAAACTCACAGTGATTCTCCTGCCTCAGCCTCCCCAATGCTGGGATTACAGGTGTGCACCACCACATCCAGCTTCTATCCCTACTTTTACAAACCGTATTAGATTATTACTGATACCAGTGGAATGATAAACTCAGAATACCTTCTATTTTTCCTTTTAACAAACGACAAAGCTGAGAAATCACAATGATGAAATAGTTGGGTCTGAGCTCATGGCCAAAGATTTATTATTTTCTTATTTGTTTAAATAAAATTCCATCTACCTAATGTGTAGAGTTCTTTCAAAACAAAGGCTTCATGTACTTCAGCATTAACACAGAGGTACCCATCTTATATTTGACTGGCAAACTGTAACAGAATGGCACCTTCACTATCTGGATTCAGTAAAAGAATTACTGTAAATACGATTAAATTAGGAACCAAGAGACCAACATTACAATTTTGTCGTATGGCAGTAAGAATTTATATTAGATGGCTAAAATTAAGCTTTTTAAATTAAAAGATCTGCCATCATCTTTTATAAGGCGAACAGTTTCAATAGTGATTGTTATTGAAAAAAAACTAATAAAAAAAGCTGGCATAATTTTTACAGACACTTCATGCTCAAATGATAAAACTAGATACAGTAGATTAATGTACTGCCAGAGAAATGATGTCCATAATCCCCTAACACAGTAGGCAAACTGGGCTTTTCTACCTATGTAGGATTCTGGAAATAGCTTAGGCATCTTATCTCATTTGGATTGAGATAAACATCAAAACACATTACCCAAGAAAGCCTATCATACTGTGCTAATTAAAAAGAGAGACATCCCTAAGAATTTACCAGGCCAAGTATGTTCTCCTTTCACATCTTTACTGATTGATCTGGAAGAGATCTACATGTAGCAGAGTACTATGACTTTCTTAGCTCTGCCGGTTTAATCAACAGCTTTACTGCACAGCCAACTACAACCCCCTCTCCACCCATGAATTTGGCTTTAGAGTCACACATGCTATTCATTTATATAAAGAGTGTATCTAAGATTCTTTTCTTTATACCCTGGATGATTCAAATCAATTCACCCCACATAAGTGGATTAATTACTGTGGTCATTTTGCATCACAGTCACAATATACACACAGATGGTGTGACCTAGTGCAGTGCCCACAGCATTGAAAGGGCTAACACGGACACTCTGAGGCTGTTGGGAGGAAAATAATACTTTTTATAACAGCATTATTTAATATAGTATTTACTTATGTACTTCATTATAAACAAATTGGTTTTTAATAGCAGAGATCATGAAATACTGAGTTATACTGAAGTCATAAAATATGGATAAGTTGTAGAAAACAGATAAAAATTACAGAATAAACAATGTAGTTATAAAACACTGCTACCAAAAGCTTTATGAAAAGCTTTTTTCTTTCTGCTAAAGCACAGATTACGCCATTATTCTATAGCTTGGAGGTCAGCAAACTTTGTTACAAATAGTCTGGGTTTTGTGGATCATACAGTGTGTTATCCACAGTACTTGATACTGCTCTTGCACACTTTGAAAATAACTATATATGCGACAGTAAGAAATGAGTGTGGCTGTGTTCTAATAAAAATTTATAAAAACAGGAGGCAGGCTCCATCTGAAGTGGGCCTGTGTGCCAATCTCTTCTATACCAGCACTGTCCAAAAGAAATTTATGTAATTTAAAAATGTCTAGTATAGTCACGTTAGAAAATGAAAACAGGTAAAATTAATGTTTTATTTAATCCAATATGTAGAAAATATAATTTCAACATGTAATCAATATAGAAACTACTGAGATGGTTTACATTTTTTGTACTAAATCTTTGTAACTATTGTGTATTTTACCCACAGAGCATATTAGTTGAATTTCAAGTGCTCAATAGTCACACGTGGCTATGGGTACCGAATTGGACCACATGTTCTAGACTTTCAAGGCTGGTATTTCTACAACTAATTTGGAGTTTAACAGCACAGGGTTGAGTTTTGTTTCCTGACAGATGAGGGGTATGCTTATGTTGCCATAGGAGAGCATGGGACTAGGGATTACGGCAGCTGGGAAGAAGTATTTGGCTTCAGTCACTTCAAACTGAGGTGGCTAGGATTCTAGGGTACAAATTCACAACCAAAGCAGTGACAGTCAGACAACATCAGCTCCATTTGCCAATTCAAAAAGTATGATGTCAAAAGATATCTGATATGGACTAACTACAGCATGATCAAAGGTAGGAGCTCATTACGGCAAATCTTTGGCACTCAGTAAAGAATGCTAATTATCAGTCGCAGAACTACGCAGAACTAGTCTTTAGAACTTTGATTACATCAGAATTGAAAGCCATATAATATAAGATGTGATTTGGAAGATAAAATGAAGAATTGTTTAGCAAGAAAAAGGCTTCAAATTTAGAGACTGAGTCTTTGAAACGGTTTAAATAGATAAGTGTTCCTTCAATTATCTCTGCAACACAGTCTAATACCAGTTGGCAACAGCTTAATAAGTTACCAGAGGATAACTGGAAGCCTTTGTTTGACTCTTGAGAAGCTTTTGATTATTGAAATACAACTTTCTAAGTAACTGAATTAGCATTTCCAAGGTAAGAATGGACATAGCCCATCGTTAATAAAACTTGGAGGCAAATATTTTTAACAAAAAATTTATTACCAAAATACAATATTAAAGTCAATACATGACAAACTCCTGTAAAGCAAAATAAATTATTCTAACATTGTACAGTATTTCCAAAGGTAGTTAAAGAAGTGCTATAAACCTTGCTTCAATGTCTGAACAGATAAACTGTTCTACCATGAACACAATCCTAGGGTTTCGGCTTTAAGGCATGCAGCTTGGTGTGCAGGATAATTTTACAAAATGCAAATTACCCTATTTAATAACATACAGTGTCAGAATTAACTGTAGTCTTTACATGTCAGTGTTGCAGAAACTTTTATACTTTGGCTAGAGAAGCAATGCCATAGTGTTACACAATACTTATTTCTTAAAAAAATACATGTATTCATGTCCATGAATATCAAACTCAAATTTCTATTAAATATATTTTATAGAATATTACTTAGAGCACCTTGCTGTACAAAAAAACGATTAAATAAGTGTCTATGAAAACTAAAAATATATGTCTCAATAGAGAAGCCTGCTTGTCTTTGTCAAGCCAAGTACACTACAGGAAGATACAATGTAAACATAGATGCCCACCATTTGCTTTGTGAGAATAAAACTGACAAAATAATTACAAAGCTACTAACAGTTACCCTGAATAGAATCAAAAGATTTGTCACAAAGGCTTCAGCCAGTGTCACTACACCGCACTGTCTAGCAGCAGGTCCTAGTCTACTGGTCACATGGAACATAAGCATGGAACGGCTGGAACACTGGGGTCACCAATCATATTCTGGATTGTTTGAGAAAGGGAGAAAAATGACAGAGTCCTAAGAAGTATTATTTTGTAATTATCAGGATGCATTATCTCCTCATTCTTACCTTTGCCGAATTCAGTAACTTTCTTTTAAAAACTATTTTCACTACCAAATTTCACAAGTGCTCAGAGCAGAAAACAAATAGTCTGAGCTTTCTGTGACAAAAGGTTAAGTAGCAACTAATGAAGTGTTTGTTATTCCTATAAAGAGAATTGCTACTAAGTATTTTAATAACTAATCTCTTCTATCATTACAATTGCATATTTAATCTTCATTATTACTTTTAGAAAAATCAACTGTTCTTGGTAGAGACACTGCTTCAAGGCTTGCCACAAAATGATAATGGGAAAATACAGACTATGTCCTTGGTACACGGTTTCTCCTATAGGCCAGGAGAACATTATAAGGATACCCTACAGCCAGAATCAGACTGAACTTTGAACTTCTGGGTTATTGTTTTCCCTACTGGGTACGATGCTTTTATTTTATTTTTATTTGTTTTTTTGGGTTTTTTTTTTTTGGATATCGGGAACTCAGGACCTTGCACTTGCGAGGCAGGCACAGTGCCACTGGGCTAAATCCCCAGCCTGGGTAGGATAATTTTAAATACATGATTCCAAATGGAAAATTTAAGTAACAATAAGTGGAGATGGTGTAAAGAAATTTTAAAAGGTAATTTAAAATGTCACATTGTTGAAATTTTTGATTATTAGTATTTTCCAAATGATTAAATACAATTGAAGCCAAGGAGAATTAAAAGCCAAGGTTGTTACTTTTCAGAATAACAGATTTTTACAAGGAAACACCTGAATCATAGTTACTGGCAATGAAAAACATACACAATATAAGTGCCAACAAAAGGAGTGATAAAAATGGAACTATTTTTTATTTGAATTTAAATATAAATTAAATGCACACAGAGTGGACTTGGGGAATATACTTTAGTATGTATAAATTTATTTTATCTTTTTAAAGATCATATATCAGAAATGGATTAACTTCACAAATAAGTTAAACTACCTAAATCAAAAGAGCTGCAAAGTTATAGTCATCTGCTTAAATATCATCAAAAGGAGATATAAATTTTCTAAAAATCAGAAAATGTTTCAAGATGCCTGGCCCTGCCTACACAGTTCGTAGAGCTATTTTTGAAATACTTCATTTAATTTGTACCTGAACTTAGGGAACAAAATGCTTTTTTTAAAACATGTCTACACAGTATTCTCTTCATGAAACTTTGTTTTTGACATGCGAAAATTATCAGAGGCACAGCCTCAACTGTAGATGTTGGAAGTCAATATTCAAAATATTTAGATATTCAGAAATAGCACCATGAAAAAGGTGCAGTGAATGGTACACCGGCCTTCTGACTTGTGGGCAAAACTTACTTTCACAAAGCAAAGCATAAATAAGCAATCAGAGCAACAACAAAAATACCTTTTGAAATAGTTATAATATAAAATGTATAATTAATGTGATTACAGGTATTTGAAGGGAAGTCTGAATGCAAAAGCACTTTTAGTAGGTTTCCATGTCCTACCACCTTCTATCAGTGGAATTTTTTTTGACAGAAATCCTAATCTTGCCAAATACTATTTGCTTATTAAGATTTCTATAAACAACTTGGACTTTTATTACATTTTAGTTACTTCTGGTTGTTCCTTTTTTGCTAAATATAATTAGTAAACTCCAGGAAGGAAAATCTCAAAAGCAGTACTAACTTCAAGAGTCTTCTGAATTTTATTCCTTGTCATACATTTATTTGATTTTTTTTCTCTCAGGCTTGAAACTATTTCAAAAGCATGGTGATCAAATACAAATTTCTGTAGTTTGTTGCTTTAAGAGACTCTGTGATGATACAAAGGGGATGGGATGGTGGGGGTATGGGGTGTGTCTCACAGCAGAAAGGATTAGAAGGTCCATGTTAACTATGAAGAAATGTTTTGTGCTCTTTCAAACACTGATAAGAGCCTTTGAGAAGTACACTGTGCTCAAAATTTCTGTGAGCCTCAGATCTGGTTTTAGTCTGGTAGGAAAACACCTATTTCTTCCTCTGCTCACAAGTTCATTATAAATGTAAGACTATTATTTACTTCTTGAATGTCTATATTCAGGATTCGATTTAGAGGTCCTTTTTAGGGAGCAAAGGAACACATATTGACATTTAGTATTAACAAATTTCTGTCAATTAGTGAAAGACTTAAGAAAATCATTTCAAAGCCCTCTACCCATTCCCTTGTCGATTCTGCTTGTGACACCCAAAAGGCCCTTCCAGGAGCTGCCCCCCTTTCCACAAGACCTGTCTGTTCTAGGGTTGACATTGCAAAAGTGAGGATGGGGGGAACTAAGCTTAGCTTAAGACTGTAACACTTTTATACCAAGTTTTAGAACAGTTCCTGAAAAGCCCTTTCTTAACTCTTGCTGCTTGCATTTCTAAAGGATAGTAAGTTTTTAATAATAAATACACTCAACACTTACAAGCAGTAACGGAGGGTTAATACAGAAGGTACATATTTACCTCTTCTTCAATCCACTTCCTTTTACTGAAAATATTTAAATTCCATTTCTGCTTATCCATTTGGAATTTATTTTATTACATGACAAGTTTGGTTTCAAAGTCATAACTATCATCTCCTCAGAAGTCACACCTATTTCTTGTGTCTAGTAAGTTAGTTATTTAACAGCACAATGGTGAAACTGTGGTTTAAGGAAATCCTCTTCAAGTAATCAGTCCGGCTAATTGGTGTTTAGAGTTATGTTATGGTCCTTATTTAGGATGATGTTTACAATTTCACCCTCATGCTCTTTCATATGATCCAACAGGTTTTCTTTGCTGGTTGACTCAAAACCACAAATGCAACAACAGAAGAGTAAAACGCAATACTCCATCCCAGGAGGGACCAGATTGGAGTTTTTTTCTATAATGCATGAGGTATTACTTGTAGGGCTCAGTTTCTCATTCTCGTGGGAATCTAAGACATCACTGGGTGCCTGGGAAATCAGCTCTGAGGATGACACCAAATTTTCTGAACTTCCAGTAACAGGATCAACTCTTTCTTCGCTGCTGGTTAATAGAGTTTTTCCAGGTGATTTCCCCAGAACTCTTAAAAAACAAAACCAAAACAAAACAAAAAACACCAAACCATGAGTGGGCTATACTGTAGGACTGGCAGATTTAACCCTAACTTTAATTTATATATATAGCAATAAAGGGAAGATTGAGGGTAGGATCAGATACCTGCCACTTTGTGAGATGGCATCATTAATAGCCTTGTTTACTTGTTCGTAGTTATAATTTTGGTCACTTGCGTGTTTCCACATATGAGACTTCAAAGAAGGAGGGTGGCTGCACACATATCCACACAAGGAACATCTAGAAGGCAAGAAGAGGAGAACCAGAATAATCCCACAACATTTAAAAAATTATGATGATCCGGTAGTAATTATTACATTCCTTCTTCTGAAGCTTTATTAGATACATTTCACTGACTCAAAGATATCAGAGTCTAAGAGATTGATTTCAGAAGTCTCAGAACAGGTGTACCAGAATCAATGAAAGAGGCATTTTATATCATAAAAAATTTATAGCAATCAAGACAAACATCCTAGATTTGCAATTACAAGATATGGAAAGATATTTAACAGTAATACACAAAATCTTTGCTCTGAATTTTTTAATCACATCCACAAAGAAAAACATAAAATTAATGCACTTCTTGAAAGTTTTTACAATTTCAATTTCACAAATAAAATAAGATGTGTAGTCTTAACACATTAAGCATTAGTGTGGTATATTTGTTTCAACTGATGAACCAGTATTGATATTTATTACTAACTCTAATCTGTAGTTTATATTAGGGTTCACGGTTGTGCTGTACAATCCTATGTATTTCAACAACTGCAGCATGTCATGAAATTATAACTACACTGACCCCCTGAATAGTTGCACTGTCCTTAAAATCTGTGCTTTACCTACTCATCACTTCTTCCAGCCGCCCCTGAATTCCTGGCAACTACCAGTCTTTTTATTGTCTCTAACTGTTGTCTTTTCCAAAACATCATATCCTGTAATTGTAATCACAGGAATATGCATTAAGGGTTTTTCTGTGTCTTTCAGTGGCTGATAACTGAATGTAAAGATGTACCAGTTTCTTTATTCCTTCACTACTAAGAGGTATTGCGGTTGGTTCCAGCTTTTTTGTAATTAATGAGTAAAGCTACTACACACATACATGTGCAGGCTTCGTGTATCTTAGTGTACAATTGCTGGATTGTGTTGTAAAACTATGCCCTCTCTCTCTCTTTTTGGTACCAGGAACTCAGGACCTTGCACTTGTGAGGCAGACGCAGTGCCACTGAACTAAATCCCAGGCCCTGTCTACCTTTTTAAGAATCTACAAATGGGACAGGTGATTTAGCTCAGTGGAGCCACTGCCTGCCTCGCAAGCACAAGGTCCTGAGTTCCATCCCTGGTACAAAAAGCAAAACAAAACAAAACAAACAAAAAACCGCCCCCAAAACTACAAATGTAGTTTTCCAAAGATATTTTTGTTAAATACATAACAAATTAGATAACTCATCTGAACTTTTCCCTGTGTCAGTAAGAGACGTGGCCAGCAAGTCAAATGGCCTAAGATTAAATAAAATAAAGACTTCAAGTATTCTGAATACCGCTTCTAACCTACCTACAATTTAAGTTTATAGCATGCAGCAATATTTTTTCATTACATGTCCTGAGGACTGGTTCAAGGTGAAAGGCCTTTGACCTTAAGAAATACCAGCCTACTTCATAGACAATTCTTGATAGACTGTCCAAGAAATGTAAACAGAAAAAGTAATGTCTGATTTCACTAATAATCTGGGAAATGCATTATATTCATATGACCAGCAAAGATGAGTAAGTCTCGTAAGAGCAGTAAAAGTCTTCACAGACATGGAAAAATAAATGCAAAGTGTATGTATAAATTTAAGGACTCTGAAAAGCAGTTTGGTTCTATCAGTTAAGACTGAAGAAGCACAAACCTGTAACCCCACAAATCTAGTTCTAAGTGTCTACTCTGAAGACATTCCAGGCAAGAACACACACAGTTCAAAAGTGACTGCTGTAGCTATGAATAGCGAAAACAGGATGTAACCTGCAACCACTGTTCTTCCACAAGGGTACGGAAACAAATTATTATTATTATTTTTTTGGTACCAGGGATTGAATTTGGGTCCTTGTGCTTGCAAGGCAGGCCACCAAACAAATTATTTTTTAAGGCAGGCCACCGAACAAATTATTTTTTATCTTAATGAAACATTATAGAGTAGTTAAAAAGAACTAGATATACACTTATAATCATGAACCAAAGTCAATAATGGTCAGGGACTATGAAAAGCAACATTAAATATGTTTGGTGTACAATTTAAATAAAAATTATAAAAATACCAAAAACTATATACTGTTTATGTATAATACACATGTATACGTGTTACATGTTGTACACACATATTATGCAGTCATTTAAAAATGCATGGATAGGATACATTAATATCAAGACAATGGGTTACCTCTGAGAAGGAACAGTAAAGAATAGAATAAGGATTTTAGCTTATCTACAATGTTTTAATTTTTCAAAATGTGGTAAAATGTTTGAAATGTTTCACTAACTTTACAGTTTGAATTCTTTATAAACAATTTTATACTTAGCATAATAAAGCAAAATGCTCACAGTTTATTATTAGCCACATTAAAAAGAGCTCTAACACTAATTCAAAATTACGTTGCCCATTGATATCTGAAATACACCAACTTATCCACAAATCTTGCAAAATTTGTTTTTCACTAATATCTTTACTGTGGCAATCACTCCTACTTCCAAGCCATTAAAGCAGTGCCTGCATCTCTTATTCTACAGTACTGTCATTTTGTACTACGTATTGTAATGTGGTTACAGCGCCTTCTTCAAGTGCCTCTGGATGACCCCACCGGAAAGAGTGACTGCCTTATGCCACCAGGCAAGGAGTGCCTATGTATCTCCACCTAGTATTCAAGCAAGTACAAAGCCCGTGTACGTCTTATATGGAAATGTATACTATGAATACCTTCCTGCTCATATTACACAAAGGAGAAACAGATGTGAAATCCTGGGTCTTCAGTTATTCACATACATTCAGACTGTTGCCCTGAAGCCTCACTAGAAAATTCTTTGTCCAGAATGAGGCCTAGAATGCTGAATGGAGTAAGGGTCCCCCAAGTGAGAAGGCAGTCTTATGCAACCAGAATGTCATACTTTGAGAAAATGGGTCAGAAAAGAAACAAATTACAAATTTATCCTACAGAACATTTCCAATGTTACTCCAGTGTTACTCAACCCTTGAAAAAATAAGAGTGACAAACTACTTATGTAACTGCTTTCCTTTTTTAAAAGACAAACTTTCAATTTTAGAACCGTCACAGATTTACAGAATATTTGAATTTCTTTTTGTTAACAAGTTTCATTCCTGAGGTACATCTGCCCCACATGAGGAACTAATGTTACTTTATTGACTCAAGTCCATACTTTATTCATTCAGATTTCCTTAGCTTTTACCTAATGTCCCTCTTCTGTCCCACAGTCACATCCAGGACCCTGCATTACATTTACTTGGCACCTTCTAGGCTGTCATGGTTTATCAGACTTGCCCTTGTTTCTAATGACCTTGACAGATGTGAGGAACATTGGTCAGGCATCTTGTAGGACGCTCCTCAATCTAGGGCTACCTGAGGTTTTGAGAGAAAGACCTAGTTGTACCACACCATCAGTATGACTCATCGTGGTTGACACTGACCCTGACCACCTGGCCAAGGTCAGGTTCCTCCACAGACAAGTGACTCTTATCCTTCTTTCCACACTGTAAATACTGTACTTTGGAAGTATGGCACTATTTGAAGCTCATATTTAAAGAATGGGAATATAATTCACCTTTTTGAGGGTAGAATAGCTAGATTATTTGGAATTTTTCCACATGGGTTATTTGTCTATTCTTGCTCATTTATTTATATCAGTATAGACATATGGCTAATTAATCATACTCTGGGATCTATTTCAAAACTACACTGCACAGATCATTGCAGCCTTGACCACTGGGGACTCTCAGCTTCTCTGTCACGATGATATACCCATATTATTTGTTGAACAAGGGTCTCCTGTGTTACTTGCTTGTACTACAGGATGCTGCAGGTTACTTTATATATCCTCTGCCCTAGTCTTAGGGTCCATCTATCATTTCTATATGTTTGTTAGGTAATTGTATTAGAAACCAAGATTTGGGGGCCAGGTGATTAATTCTGTAAATTATTTTTTTTCCTGATTTCAAGGATTCCTTGCAGAAAATTAGGAAAAAAACAAAACAAAACTTATAACTATCAATTAACACAAGCATTGGACAAAAATAATACTTATATTAACAGCAATGGAATAATGAAATACATAAGCCAGCCTAAGGATGAGTGTGTGTATGTAGTCATCACACTGTATAGTTCTAATGTATATCAATTTCAGTTACTATGGCTTAAACATTACAAGTCTCCCAACATCATGGTTCAAGTACCACTTACTAACAGGTGTAAGTATACTAATTGTAGAGTTTAATTTTCAGGGAATTAAACAGAAGTGGATCATAATGAGTGATCAATCACATTGCTCCTTTCCAAATCTGTGAGCCATTAATCATTGTGCTTCTATTCAATTCAATCAAAAGCAGCAAATCATGTAACTGTGTTACATCGCTGTCTCCCAGTGATAAACTCACACAACAGCTTACCAGAATGGATAATCAAAACAAGGACTATGGTTGTGCAATGAAAAATTCAAAGTGTTAACCCTGGAACTGAAATTAGAGCAAAGGCAAACGGCATCAGAACAGACAGCTGACCATAGGAATGTTGACACTCCTGTTTCTGAAGAAACTTTGGAGATGCAGCCAGAGGATTTTGGGGAAGGTGATCTTAATCAAATAAACGAGGAATGTCATTCCCAGAGGAAGGGATGTTGGCACAAATTTCACACTAAAAGAACTGCTGTAGAAATTTCATGATAAAATGTTGACAGCTGATCCATACTTAGGACAACTGACAATTTGCCAAGGCATAAAAAATATGTTCACTTCCTATTTTAAGGGATATCATAGGAAGAAGGTAAACACTATTCAATTATTGATCATTTTTTTAAATCAAAGAGATTAAACACTTTAACCCTCAAACAGCATGCCATAGTCTGAATCTACGCAGCTTTCAAAATTCATAGATACCTAACCCTAAGGAGACAGTATGAAAAGGTGGTGCCTTTGCAAAGTGACAGTCATGAGGTAAAGTCCTCGTGAGTGAGATTAGTGCTCTTTACAACAAGGTGT